GTGCAGTTCTGCACTCATAGTCTGATCCTCATGCCTCTCAAGAGGTCGGTCCTATGAGGAACTCAGCACAGCTGCTCTCTGTTTCCATATCTGCAACATGAGGGTCTTAAGAGTTCCGGACCACAATGGTGCAGGAAAAGCATTCTGTAGCTCTTTAAGGAAAGCAGCCAGGATGCTTATGGACCAATTCTTTGTAGATCCCAGAGTTGGAATAGGGGCCCAGCTACATACCCCTAAGTCAAGATTCTTCCACTTGACGTTTATATTTTCCTTGAGATATTTTACAGGACTGCCTTTTGAGGGAATGCATAGCTTTCTGTTGAATTCTAGTGGGTTCAGGCAATGCTTTTTTTAAAATTTATTTATCTTGAGAAATGGACTCTTTGGAATTTGGAGGAATTTGAGAGGCAATTTAGACTATCATTTAGGATGACAGTTAACTTCATCACACTGTTTAAGTGAGAAAATATCACTGTTATTCAGTCGTTTAAAAGTCATACAAGTTAAGAACTGGATAAAAAGAATCGAATGTGCATGTAATGCCCACAGGCTTTAAGTTGAGTTGGGGAGGCAATACATTTCATACATTCAACAGACAGGGTATGTGAGTAAGGGGCCGGCTTTCAAACTCCAATTCAGCCAAATACTCATGCACATATTCTGACCTTAAGGTATAACACAAAGGAATGCAAAGACTAGGACAATTTTTCAACATGTATCAGCCATTTATCCTATGCTAATCAGAGTTCTTATACAGATCTCGGATATTAACCCAGGGCTTTGAACTTAAATCAGTGTTGCCTGGCTCCAAATTACTGGTTCTCTTAAAATCACTTGGGAAGATTTTTTTCTTTGAGACAAAGTCTCACATATTCCAGACTCGCTCAGTACATATTGGAGAGTGACCTCGAACTTCTAATACAGTTGCCTCTACCATCAAGGCTGGTTACTGGTGTGTAGCACCACATCAGGTTTGTGCAGCTCTGTGAATTCAGGCAAGCAGACTACTAATGGAGCTACATCACTAGCCCTTCCTAAAGAGTTCTTCAGAATACTCTTTATTTTGAAGTAATTCTAACTTTATGGAAAAGTTGCAAAGACATACAGAAAGTTGCTGCAAGCCCTTCACTTGGCTGCTACTGAAGCAGACATGGGATATTTTTTTCTTTTGAAGTAGTAGTCAAAATCTGTAAAATGGGACTCTGATGATAAGATCCAATCAGTAGTATTTTTTAAAGCTTTTGCTCACATGCATTCAAGGTGAAGGCAAGTCTGGGAACCTCTGCTCCAAATCCTTCTCAAAAGGGAATAAGCCAGCCAACAGTGTGGCCCTTGCTTGGTGGCCTGTTAGGAATGTAACCGCATGTGGGAAAAAGTTAGTCTATGTATATAGTAACATTTATATGATGACAAAGTAGTGTTGCAGAGACCTTCGGCCCCATGCTTTAAAAACTGATTGTTGGTAGCTAAAAAGCATCAGAGAATGATTTGTTATTTAGGAGGAGAATTGCTAACAGTCGTGAATTAATGACAGAACCAAGGCTGCCACTCTACTAAGCAGAGACCCAGGAAGGCCTCTCTCATCCTCTCATTTTGTGGAATCACATTAGAACTATTTTAGATTTTACTAGCTCTTGTATTGGAAAATTGGAAGAAATAAAGAGCAACTCATTTGGCAATAGTTTGGCAGTGAAAATTATTGAAATCAAGGGCTTAAGTATGCATTTTGGACACTGGACACACTTTTTGATGTTTAGGTTTGTCCTACCCATACAGGTAATATAGAGTTGATTACACAAAAATCAAGGAGTGTAGAATGCCGATTGGAAAGGGGTCCATTTTCAACCCTTCCCAAATGTGTGCCCAGATGAATTACTTGCTATTGTTGGTATTTCCATTTAGAATTATCAAAATGACTTTTGCAATTTTTCAGTTATTTCAAACTAGGTTTTCATTTAGCAAAGTAGGCTTAAATAGTTTTAAGTATGTAAGTAGATGTTGTGGTTTTACAAAGAAACCAGTCATAGGAACTATTTAGTCTTAACATCATTCAATCACTTTAATTCAGGCTGCAGGAAATATTTTATCCTGGGTTTTTTAATCATAGGATTTTTTTTAAAGAAGCCAAAATTGAATTAAGACTTGTAAGACGTATGCAGCCATACATCAGCCTTATTTAGGGATAGTACTGAATGAAATTTAACCTCCATAAATATTCTTGCAGCAATGTACAATTTAATACTTTTTAATCTAAAATTTTAGAGGGGTTCATGCACAAGTACTTGTATTTATATTATTTCCACTCCTACCTTTCCCTGTCCGATTCCTCCTGTGTCTTTTTCCAACTCCTCAAATTCACAACCTCTTCTTCTATAATTATTGTTATACACAGAAGCAGTGTGGACAGGCATGCACACCATGCACATACAGACACACACACACACACACAGAGAGAGAGAGAGAGAGAGAGAGAGAGAGAGAGAGAGAGAGAGAGAGAGAGCCTACTAAGCCCAATTTAATAATCTTTTTTAAAGTATTTGTTAGGCTGCCTCATTAGCTTATTGAAGCAGTGTTGTCAAAGCATTTTATCTTGAAGATTGAATGGAATATGAGGTAGCTCTGCCATAGAACTAGAAAGAGGGGATGAATGGTCAGGCAAAGAGCAGCCATTAACAAATTAGCCTTAATGTGGGACCATCACGTTTAAGAGTTGTCAGGGAAATGAGCAATTAACCAGCTTTGTCTCTAGGCTTCTCAGCTACAGAAGCTGTGGAATGCCACACAAGTTCAACGTCAAATTCACAAACCCCATCTGTGCTATTTATTTATTTATTTATTTATTTATTTATTTATTTATTTATTTATTTATTTATTTTACAATACCATTCAGTTCTACATATCAGCCACGGGTTCCCCTATTCTCCCCCCTCCCACACCCTCCCCTTGCCCCCAGCCCACCCACCATTCCCACCTCCTCCAGGGCAAATCCTCTCCCGAGGACTGCAATCAACCTGGTAGACTCAGTCCAGGCAGGTCCAGCCCCTTCCTCCCAGACTGAGCCAAGTGTCCCTGCATAAGCTCCAGGTTTCAAACAGCCAACTCATGCAATGAGCACGGGACTGGGTCCCCCTGCCTAGTTGCCTCCCAAACTGATCAAGCCATTCAACTGTCTCACCTATTCAGAGGGCCTGATCCAGTTGGGGGCCCCTCAGCCTTTGGTTCATAGTTCATGTGTTTCCATTCATTTGGCTATTTTTTTTTCAATAATTGAATAGAACCGAAATTTATTATAAGCCACAGTCAACCTGGGGACCTCCATGCTATATATATAGCCTCTATGGTTCTATGGGCTGTGGTCTGATTGTTCTTTATTTTATATCTAGAATGCACTTATGAGTGAGTACATACCATGACTGTCTTTCTGGGTTTGGGTTACCTCATTCAGGATGATTTTTTCTAGTTCCATCCATTTGCCATCTGTGCTCTTTAAGCTTCCTTCTCTTCCTTGCCAAAAATGTCTTTGTTAAACTCCAGAGATATACGAGAAACCACCAATGTAATCTCACTGAGCTTCTGAGGCAGCCCTGCTCTGTACAGACCCACTGGGCTCCCTGTGGCTCCCCTGCTTCAAAAGGTGGTCTTCTTAGCACTTCATACTGACCAACTAATACTCACGCTATATATCAAGCCTTACAGGCTCTGTTTTATGTCCATTGTATATGCTTTCAGTTTCTTCTCTGTTGGCTCTTTCCCCTGGCTTACAAACATATCTTATACTCTCCTAAATCAGTCAAAAATGTGCATACGTGTTCATGTGTATACTTCCATCTGGACTTCTGGGTAAAGCGGCTAAGGTAAATTTAGCCAGGTATGGTCACACAAGCCTGACATATCAGGACTCTGGAAGCTGAGGCAGGAGGATCACAATTTCCAGACCAACCTTGGCTACATAATGAGAACTTGCCACAAAACAACAATAACAACACAAAAGACATGACCTTGAAGATACATATATTGACTTTTTTTAGTTCATAGACTATACATGGTTAATAAAACAATAGTAAACAAACATGTAAAGCAATATAAATGCTAAATGCCGATTAACTATGAAACCATAAAGTCAAAGCCGCAGGACTGATAAATGTGAGTCTGAGAGAGAGAGGCCATTGAGACCTCAGCTCTAGAACTGGGGAGACAGCTCCGTTGGAAAAATGCCTATCAAGCATGTTTAAAACGCCCACATACTAATCCCCAGTGCTTGGGGGGCAGGGGAGGGAACTCTAGTAGGAAATGGGCTCCATTCAATTTGATGGTTGCATAGTATATGGATGTATGCATCATTATTTCATATAATCAAGCCCCTACTTTTGCACAAGCAGTTACATATTGAAAAATCTTTTCTTGGGCTCCCCAAACCCATGAATATACCTATCTAGTCCAGTTGCACTGTATTAGCCAACACGATTCAGATGCAACCGTAGAAAAAAGCAAGCCTTCAGCTTAAACTAGGAAACAGTAGGTTGCTGTCACAGAAATAGGTTAATAAAAAGAATCTTTACTGCTTTTCTGTGGCTGCAGTAGCAAAGTACCATAAATCTGCTGTCTCAGAACAACAGAATCCCAAAGTTCAAGATGCCATTGCCTCTTCTGCTTTGGGTGGCTTGAGGCAATCTCTGAGTTGTGACCTCATCATGTCATTTCCACCTCCGTCTTCAAATGGCCCCCGCTGTGTCTGTGTCTTCTCCTGGCTTCTAGGGACCTTGGTCCTTGTACTTTGGGTTCAAGTGACTAATACCTCAGGGAATTTCCTCCATTATACATGCACAGGCTCTGGCAGTAAGAAAGTAGACCCATCCTTTTGAAGTCCGCCATTAGACATTGTTTTGCCTAGGCACGGGTGCACATTCAAATATTGTCTAGTTTCTTTTCAGATGGTCTATAGTTTAAACTGCTAGCAACCACAGTTATCAAGGTATCTTTGTAACTCACTCTACAACTAGGATTTGTCTTTCGAGCGATCATCCCAGTCAATGTTGGAACGATCTGAACAACAGATCAGAGCTGCTTCTAGTTTGGAGGAGCTGCTGCGTGTCGCACACTCTGAAGATTGGAAGCGGTGGAGATGCCGGCTGAAGCTCCAAAGTCTGGCCAGTCTGGACTCGCGCTCGACCTCCCACCGCTCCACCAGATTTGCAGCAACTTTCTACGATACGGAAACGCTAAAAGGTGGGTTTGTGAGTAAAACGGCAGATTATTTCCTTATCAGGTAGTGACACAGGTACCAATTCCTTCCAAAAGTTTGCACAGGTGGTTATATGTCAGAGGGGGAACAAGATGGTTCACTGGATAAAGTTGGGAATGGCTCTCAGATAGCCACACATGTGCCCCTCCTTAAATAAATAGATGTAATACAAAATTTAAACAAATCACTGCTTGCAGGAATCAGTTCTCTCTTTCTACCTTGTGGGGCTCAGGAATCAAACACAGGTCTTCGGGTTTGTCAGCAAGCACCTTTACCCACTGAACCAACTTGTCAGCTCAAGAATTCTGATTTTTCAAATGTCTACTCCACAAAGAAGAATATTCAATATGGTTTTGATATCTACATCTAACCCAAGAACATTGCAAATTATCAAAATATGTTTAGCTCAGGAATTTGAGTACAAAGCAATACAGAAAGACTGCTTTTAGGGAGAAAAAAAAACATGTTTACTAAAAAACAAAACAACCTCAGTATTCATCAACAGGAGTTCTCAATTACTATGCAGATAGAGAGGAAAATCAAGAATTTTGCTATAGCTTTTTTTCTTCAAAATCCTGTGGGTTTTTTTTATGTAAAAGTGAGAAGCATAAATTGCAAGGTGAAGCATAACAATGGGTACTGGTTACTCAGAGAATAACAAAGAAATTTCTTGACATAAAATAATCAACACTTAGGACTGGAAAAATAGCATGCAATCAGCCTTCTGTATCCTCAGGTCTTCCCCACCCCCATGGGTTCAGCCAATCACACAGGTCAAATACTTGGAGAAATGCATGTGTACTGAGCATAGGCAGATCTTTTCTTGACATACAGTATACTGTAACAACTATTTATATACCAGAAATTATCTAGACATAATTTCAAGTGTACTGGAAGATATAGGTGGGTTATTTACAAATTCTAGCCCAATTATATAAGGAACTTGGTAACCCAAGGATTTGTGTATCTGTAAGGATTCCTGGGACCAATCCTCCACAGATATCAAGGGACCATCATCTTTCCAAGTTGATTACTGGGGTAGGGGTGGAGATGGGTGTGTGGTGTCTACTTCTGCCATTTTAATGATATCCAGATTGAGATATAGACTCTTTACAAGACTATTGTTTATACATACTGTGCCACAATGAATGAAATGTTTTTAAAGAAAGTTGTGTGGCCTTGATTAGACCTTTAGCTGTCTGATGAAACATCAAAACAACTCAAAAAACCAGCTCCATTGTTAGACTTAGCCTTGTAGATACAAACATGATCACATAGCACATGAATATATCCACTGCTTAATTTCAGTTGATCCTTAAGCAAAAACTAGTCTTTGCTTTCTATCTAGAGTTGTCTTTTTTCCCATTTGTTAAAGAATAGATTGCACAGGATTCAGCTATGGGGAAAGTTGTGTGGAGGTGAGGCAAATCCCCCTGCAGTGTAAGTGTGAAGAAGGGTCTTTGTGCTCATGCATGGTACTGTGTGTCTAAGTGAAAGTCGAGTTGTTCATTCCTGTTGTAATGTCACATAGACTTTACAAAAACATGCACATCTGGAGACCACAGGTTTTGACCAGATTACCTCGCCGAAGACCTGCGGGGAATGGACAGATGACCTGCAAAGACAATTTTACCATAAAACCACAAGTCAGTGATTTTTAAAAGTCATCCAGCTTGACATTTTCCAAGGAGGAAACCATAAAAAAAATTAGAGAATTTGCAGCCTCCACGGTTTCCCTCCTAATTATATGGAGGATTAGCTGAAGTTATTCACTAAGTTAGAAGCAGTAGATTATCAAATAAGTGTGTCACACCAATTATGTTTTGTTATCTACTCTCTCTCATGGATTTCAGGGTAATTCCCTGGGCAGTAGTAAAGAACGCTGGCCTTATGAAATCTTAATCAGTGGCATTGGTCATAACTGCATGAGATTTTGATTATAATCTTGTCCAACTTTTAAAAGTTAGAATTTTAAAGAGAAAAAGCAAGTAGAAAGTAACATTAAACAACATTTTAAACAAGGAATATTTTCCTAAGTCAATTACTCTCCCCTTCAAAGAGTTATGACTAATAGTACCAATTTAAATAGCACCCCTAGTAATGCTTAAATAGTTCGTGTCTCATGCATTCAATCTGAGGATACTTCATATGAATTTTTATCAACAAAAATTTAAAAATATTAATTTTGTATTCTGTGTATGCATGGATGTTTTGCCAGCATATATGTCTGTGCACCACATGTGTGCAGTACCTATGGAGGTCAGATCCACTGGAACATCAGACCCACTGGAACTAGAGTTAGAGATATGACCTGCCATATGGATGCTGGGAACTAAATGTGGGTCCTCTTCTAAATCATCTCTCCAGAACCATTGTCTTAGTTAGGGTTCCTATTGCCGTGAAAAGACATCATGACCACAGCAACTCTTATAAAGGAAAACATTTAATTGTGGTGTTCCACTTATAATTCAGAGGTTTAGTGCATTATTATCATGGTGGGAAGCAAGGCAGCATGCAGGCAGACAGGGTGCTAGAGAAGAAGCTGAGAGTTCTTACATCTTGACTCACAGGCAACAGGAAGTGATCTATCTCACTGGGCCTGGCTTAAGCATATATGAGACCTCAATGCCCGCCTTCATGGTGACACACTTCCTCTAACAAGATCACACCTATTCCTACAAGGCCACATCTCCTAATAGTGCCACTCCCTTGGGGACCATTTTCTTTTAAACCACCACACCCATCAATACATATTTTTTAAGACAGGGTATAGAAACATTTGCCTGTAACTTAATATTACCCCAAATTTTGACTGTCTCAAACAGACTGTGTGTACATGTGCAGATGTACATGTGTGTATGGGTGCATGTGGTTGTGGAGCCTTAGGACAGCCTAGGATTTTGTAAAGGGCCCCTTTCCTCACTGGCTGTTAGCTAGAGGCTGCCCTCAGTTGGAAGTAGCTTCAAAAATGACTTTCAGGCTGGACCATTGGCTTGGAGGTTAAGAGTACATACTGCTCTTGCAGAGGACCCACGTTTGTTTCCTACACGTATGCAGGGTGAGGTCACAACAATCCATGAAACTCCAGCTCCAGGGGGCATTTGTCTCCCTCTTCTGGTGTCTTGGGGCACTGCACTCATGTACACCCCACCCCCACATGCAAGCACATCACCATCCACACACATACACATAATTTGAAATAAGAAAATCTTTTTTAAAAAGTGGTCCTTGGTGAGAAAGAAAGGGGGTGGGGAGAGGGGGTAAAGAGAGGTGGACGTGGGAGAGAAGCAGAGTCAGAGAATTTTTTCAACCTAAGCACCTAAGTAGCATCCTGTTTTGCGGTACCCTCTTCGCAAAAATCCAATTAATCAGTTTCATTGACACACAAAAAGAGGGGAAATTGCATAGGGCATGGCCTCCAGGAACTAGGGATCACTAGGGGTCAATTTTAAGGCTTCCTAATACAAAAAGGTTTCAATATGTTCCCAGTATATCATAGTCTGCAGTTCTATCTATGACAAGCTGAAAGTAAGCACCCCCCACCCCCAAAAAAAACCTGAAGAGGGGCTGCTCACAGCATTAAGTGTCAACATCTAACTTAAAAAATGGTGAAAGTGTAGCTGGAAAGAGCTCACCAGTTAAGAGCAGGTACTGAATTGGGTTCTCAGCACCCACATCAGGCAGCTCACAACTGCTCTTAACTCCAGCTCTAGGGAATCTGATGACTCTGATATCTGCAGGCATCTCTCTCTCTCTCTCTCTCTCTCTCTCTCTCTCTCTCTCTCTCTCTCTCACACACACACACACACACACACACACACACACACACACACTTAAAAATAACATAACATTTTTTAAATGGTGAAAGCCAGGTATGGTGGCGCACACCTTTAATTCCAACACCCAGGAGGTAGAGGCAAGTGTATCTCTCGAGTTTGAGGCCACCACCTGGTCTACATGACAAATTCTAGGCCAACTAGGACTACACAGTGAGACCATGTGTCAAATTTTTTTTAAAAAAATGGTGTGAGAAAAATGAAACAGCTATGCAAGAAAAATATGTAATTTCTTTTCAAGCATGCATGTGGTGCATGTATGTGCACACAGGTAGATGTGCCCATGTCTGTTCATGCATGTGGAGGCCAGAGATCAATGTTAAGCATCTTCTTCACCCACTCTCCCACTTAGTTTTGGAAATGGGGTCTGTCTTTGGAAATGAAGCTCACTGATTTGGACAGCATGGCTGGCCAGCGAGCCCCAAAGGTCCACCAATCTCTGCCTTCCCAGCACTAGGCTTCCAGGAGTAATCAGTGTGCCCAGCTTTTTATATGGATTCTGGGGATCTGAACTAAGGTCCTTGCACTTGGGCAGCCAGCACTCCCCCCCCAACTGAGCCATCTCCCAAACCCTGTTGTAGATGGACATTCTTTTCTGCTGCCAGCCCCAAATAATGACACAGAGATGCCTTATTAATTATGAAAGCTTGGCCTATAGCTTAGGCTTGCCCCACTAGCTCTTAAAACTTAAATTAACCCATTTATATTAATCTACATTTGCCTCATGGCTTTTTACCTCTCTTCCATCTTGCATCTCCTGTTCCCTCTCTGTGTCCTCTGGGGTCTCTCTCACGCCTCAATTCATCTCCTCTTCCTCTCTCTTTGCCAAGAAATCCTGCCTAACCTTATCCTGCCTAGCTATTGGCCATTCAACTCTTTATTAAACCAATCAGAAGGTGCCTTGGCAAAGACTCATCTTCACAGTGCACAAAAAGATTGTTCTACAACACCCTGTATTTCCCTATTTATTGCCAGAGATGTATTTCTCTTTTTCTGGTTTCCCTCAAATTAGCTATGGCCAGGGAGCTTATCTCATCTTCTTCTGTAAACCAGTGGATGGTTCCAAATGTAGAAAGTCTTATTTGAGGAAAAATTAATTCCATTGAAATGTCTACTTATGTGTTTACCAGATTTAAATCTCAGTGCACTTATATAAGCAGACAACAGAAATTCATTTCTCTATGATTTTAAAACCTATTCATACCTGGCTTCAGGTAGAAGAAACGCTATCCAGTTGTACCCTGCAAGTTGATTGATAAAAGACACTCACATGTTATGTCTTCACAGTAGTCCACCGACTTCCTTATTATCAAGCCTTTGCATATGGCCCGGGTGTGGCTATTTGCAGTGCTCCCCACAAGGGTAAACAAAATCTTTTATGAAGTGATTGTATCAATGGGAAAATATAGAGATTTCAGTTTTAAAATTTTTTGTAGGCAGATCTTTGACTAAAGGATGAATAAAAATATCTATTTAGGGGTTGGAAAGATGGCTCAGTGGTTAAGACCACTTGTCACCCTTGCATGAGACCTGGGTCCAGTTTCCACACAATGTCTCACAACTACCTGTAACTCCTGTTGCAGGGGATCCAGTGCCCTCTCCTAACTTCCAAAGGCACCAGCCACCCATGTGGTGCACATACATACATGTAGGCAAAGCATCCATTTACACAAAATAAAATAAATACATTTCTGAAAGAAATGTTTAAATACCCACCTAGTGAAATAAGCAAGTACCCAAAGGTGTGGGGGAGGACATGAGAACACCTATGTTGTTTATCAGGAACATTTTTGTCTGCTGGCCTCAATGAACTTTATTACTTCAGTTATAGATGAGGAATGGCAGAGAACCCAGTGCAGTCCTAGAGAGACTTGTGTAGAAGTCGCCAGTGAGCTGGGAAAGACAACCAACACGTTCTTCAAGCCCCCCTGTGTGAACGTGTTCCGGTGTGGAGGCTGCTGCAATGAAGAGAGTGTGATGTGTATGAACACAAGCACCTCCTACATCTCCAAACAGGTACGAGGAAATGAAGACATTGCCGCTGACCTTGTTACCAAGCACTGAGCTGCATACTTCATGTGGTAAAGCTCATTTAATTCCCTAGACAAACTCAAAGGATATCTTAGCCTCCTTTTCAGAGAAACACGTTGAGGCTTAGGGAGGTAACGTAATATCCAACACGACACAGCCTCATCAGTTACCATCTACCTAATGCTGTAATATCAAGAATCAGTACATTCGGACATTACTAGAACAGGGTGTTAAAAGGAATGGAGGAAGCCGTGCTGTCTTACGTAGCTGTTTGGGTGTGTGGAATTTAATTGGAATAACTGAGTAGAGTTGAAAGAGAGTGTGGATGGGGTTGGAGGAAGAAAGAAGGAAGAATGCAACAAGAACCAGCTAAGAGGGGGGAGGTGGTCTCACCCCCAAACTGAAGAGGCCGAAGGAGGAAGAAGGCAGAGGAACAGAGGAAAAATGGTAGAGGACTTCCCACTTGGTGACTGCCACCCATTAGCATGGTGGAGAATGCAAGCAGGTGCTGGGAGAGTCAAAGCCGCCAGTTATTGAGGCGGTGACAGCCGGTATGGAGCCTGAAAGGGAAAGGATGAGAGGACAGATCTCTGGGTGGAGTGGGGAACAAAGGGAGAATGCGCAGCACATGAGACTTTTGAAAGAATCCTGCAGTGTCCAGGAAGGAAATAAATAAAATACATGAATCAAGTGACCTTTGCCCTAGCTAAGTGTCTCTGGCTACCATCTTCTTGTAAACGTAGATGCTGCGTGGGGGACCTGAAGTAACCCCCTTAGGAAAGCATTATTAAAATGCTGGAAACCAAGCCACATTCCTTTTGGTCCTCTGTTGAATTCCTCACGTGTTACTACAACTCGTTTATCACATTTGCTTGTCTCCTCACGATCATGCAGTAAAAGACAATTACATAGACGCTGACTACATCCATGCCAAGGAATGTTCTAAACGCCCATTTGTTTTGCTAGTAGGTTAAAGTTTTCTTCGTTTTGTTCCCCACTACCATCTAAACTGTCCTTGAAACCATAGGAATTTTGTGGCTGAACCCTTTTGGAGAATTTTGGAACTCAAGATATCTGACCCCTACTATTTGATAATTAGAAACAATGACATAAGAATGGCTATGATAAACGGTTAGTAAACCAAAGCTTGCATAACATACAGAGGGTTCAGTGTCTGATCATGTTATTCCGTGGAGCATAGCTGAAGAATTGTGCAAGAACATGAAGTTTCTGCAGAAAAACACCCTTACTTGTTCTCAGGGAAGTTCCATGACATGTTGAAAGGTCCAAATAAACACAACCTTAATGGATTGTTTCCACTTAGTAGATCGTTGATTGCTTTGTTTTGACTGCTGCACTCAACAAATGATTCATATGAAGGAATTTATTCAAGTGTAAGTGCACAGAAGTTTTTCTTTCCAAATAGGCATACGTGTGCACTTTGGCAGTTCCTACTTTAAAGGTACAGACTATGTGATGAACTGCTTCTTAGAAACAAAGTAAATAGAACTTCCTGGAATGGTGATTGAGTGGAAATGCCTTAAAATGAAATTCAAATTCATCTACACTTCATGGAACCACTCTAAAAACTTCTGTACACACTTTAGGCATGTCTTTCTCAATCTGTCATGTAAAGACCATTAAAAATATAATTTAAATTTTTTAAAATTTTATTTATATCAGTGTGTGTGTGTGTGTGTGTGTGTGTGTGTGTGTGTGTGTGTGTGTGTGAAATGCCTGTGAAGGCCAGAAGAGGGCACCAGATTCCCCTGGAGCTGAAGTTACCTGTCTTGATGTGGGTGCTGGGAATTGAACTCAGGTCCTCTGCAGGTGCAGCAAGTGCTCTTAATTAATGAGCCATCTTTCCAGCTCCCTCAAATATAATGTGTTTACAAGTGATAAATAAATTAATAATAAAGTATTTACAATAGAGCAGGCACATAGAGACATAGAAATAGACACACTAGCTAGAATTATCTGTCTGGGTATGATTTTAACTTAGCTGAACAATGCTTTTATAGCAAATGCCCTAAAACTCAGGAGCTTTAGACAATGATAAATTATTCTTTTTTGTGTATCTGAGGTTCGAAATACTCCAAGGTGCTGAGAGTCCAGGCCTGCTTCCTGTGTCCCCAATCCCTTGGACCAGCATGGCTTCCAGGTTATATTCTTCTCGTGGCTATACCATAACCAAGAAATAATACATCTCACAAGGCATGCACAGTCCCACATTATAGTATGTCATGTCAGCTAACATCTTATTGGCCAAAACAAGTGTCATGGCCAACCTCAAAGTCAAAACATAGGAAATTGTCTGTCATTAATAGTAATGGTTTGGGAAGGGATAAATAAATAGTTTAAATAGCAATCAAATCTACCCAAATCTCAAAGAACCTCCAAGGATTTTATTTCATTTATCCTTACAATTTATACTCAAATTTAAAACAAGAGCAGGGACCAGTGGTACCATTTTCAAGAACTCTAGTGATGGCAAAAAGAACAGATTTGGAAAACACTTAAGAGACTTTACCAAGCTGGAGAAACCCCCGGTTTCCTGTCTCATAGTATTCCAAGCCTCTTACAATGACTAACTCCATTATGCATGGATAACTTCGCTGAAGTCATTACCATAAAGGACAAGGGCAAAAATACAGAGTGTGGAAACTGAAAAAAGTCTATAATAAAATTTACATCATGGTTCTCTCTCTTTGCTATAGCTCTTTGAGATATCAGTGCCTCTGACATCAGTGCCTGAGTTAGTGCCTGTTAAAATTGCCAACCATACAGGCTGTAAGTGCTTGCCCACGGGGCCCCGTCATCCCTACTCAATTATCAGAAGATCCATTCAGATCCCAGAAGAAGATCAGTAAGCATTTCCTGGACTTGATAATGTCTGTTTATGTATTGACAAAATTGTGTGTACATTCTTTTATTCCTTTACTCAATATAGAGGCATCCCCAGAAAGACATGTGTTGCATGGTTTCTGTCTTGTGGAACATAAGAAACAAAAAATCATGAAAGTGGAAGGGGAATTTTTAGGGAAAAGAAAGGAGATGAAGAGGAGGGGGAAGAGGGGAGATGGTAAAAGTACAAGTCAAGCTAAAGAAAGTATGTTTTATGCATGCTTGAATAGGGAATGGTCAAAACCATTATTTTTCACAATATAGATTAATAAAAATGTTGAAGAAACAAATAGCAAAGATACAAGCAAAATTATAAAATTATTATCTCTTCATTACAATTCTTCATCATTTGGCTTCAAAATCAGATCTATCCATAGTATTTGACAAACATATCATATATATATATATATATATATATATATATATATGCAGTAGGGCCCCAAACCACCTTGATGGTTATAAACTCAATATGTTTACTTGCAGACACCTTTGAGGATTTGTGTGTGTGTGTGTAGTTTTTGGTTTGTTTTGCTTTTGCTTTTCTGTGACAAGGTCACACTTTGTATCTCTGGCTGGCCTGAAACTTACCATATGGACCAGGCTGCCTCAACCCTCAGAGTTCTGCTTCCCTCTGCCTCTTGAGTGCTGGGATTAAAGATGTACTGTCACGTTGGCCCAACACTTTTATTCTTAACAAAGCTGCCATGTCTTCCCTCACTCCAGAGCAAGCAGTGACTCTCCTAAATTCCAGTTTACTTTCTAAAGTTTTCCTAAAAAGAATATTTACAACTATAGAATTACTATCTAATAAGATGCCATTCATAAATATAAATTACGTTTTATATTTTATTTTGTTTATGTTTCTGTCTGTGTATGTCTCTTTGTGGGTTTGTGTACATGTGTGCATGTGCTATTGGAGTCCAGAAGAAGGTGCCGGATCACTTGGAGCTGGAGTTACAAGTGGTTGTGAGCCAACCCACATGGGTGTTGGGAACTGAACTCAGGTCCCATGGAAGAACAGTACTCACTCTAAACTCTTGAGCCATCTCTCTAGCCCCCACAGTTAAGGTCTTTAAAACTGTAATTGTCCTCCACCACTTTTTTTTAAAGGTGAACACTGCAAGAATACTCAAAAGGGCTGAGAGTTGCAAACGCCGAGAATGGCTTTGCATAGTAAATGGAATAGAACAGCTCTGAACTATAGCTTACTTTTCCTGGTTTGGTCTGACAGAATGATTGAATGCTTTTGTACAAAAATCAGAGCCTTA